GACAGTGACTGGCTGGGAGAAGATCCTTTCATTGGCCTTGACTCCCACTCCACCATTGGCTTTCCTCCTGTAGAGGAGAAGATGCGACACTGCTCCAGAGTTGTCCTGGCTTTACTCTAAGATATGAACACCAAGGAGCTGGGCCCCCAGCTTTCAGAGACTTTGTCACCTTGTTGTTGTTTGTTATTGTCCCCTTACAAAAAAATGATTAGTCTAGAAGCACAGCAGTCTTTAAAAACGGGTTGAGAAAAGCTGTGTGTCAGGTACTGAGTGTGTCCATGTCTTGAGATTGCAGCCCAGGGTGTAGTGTAGTGGTGAGAAGGGCCTTGACATTGGGGTCCCAGGACGGTCCCTCATCAGCAGCGAGGCCTCTGGGAGCTGCTTTTCATCACTGCAAATACTTCTTCCCACCCCAGTGTCTTGTGAAGACGAGACGTTCCAGAGCACAGGGCTCCTGTGTGGAAGACAGTGCCAGTATGTGATGTGATTCCCTCCACTGTCGTAGCCGTTCTGTAATTTTATTCATAACAGGAAATGAAGGATTACAGTTTTCCCTTTGCATTTTTGCTTATTTTTACTTTCTCTTTCTAAAAATGGACCGTTTTCCAGCAGTGATGTTAGCTGCAAAACATTTGAGAGTTTCCCGTACATCCTCAGGGTTCCTCAGAGAGCACTTTCCCGGGATGCTGGAGTTGGTGAGCTGTGACTCTGTCTCTGTCTCCTCCAGATGAGGGAACTCGGGCTGAGAGAGTTTACGGGGTGTGCCCGGTGTCCCCTGGCTTCTGAGTGACAGAGCCAGGCTGGAGCTTAGCCTGGAGCCCAGGACTCCTCTGATTATCTGGGGTTGCCATCCGAAGGAAGATGTGACACCTCATGGGGAATGGGCCAGCCTCTTTCATAAGGGATCTTTCTCTCCTTTGTAGCGGTCAATACCAGCAGATACGCAGAGAGCTACCGGATCCAGACCTATGCTGAGTATGTGGGCAAAAAGCACAAGGAGAAGCAGATCAAGAGAAAGTGGACAGAAGATAGTTGGAAGGAGGTTGAGAGAAAGCGCTTGCGCACTCAGTGCATATCCTATTCTCTAGAGAACCACTATTACTGCACCAATAGGTAAGCGTTCATGGCTGTTGGTTTAAGAGGCAGGGGTGTTCCAGCAGTGGCGTTCCCTCTTGATCCTTACAGGACTGTGATACTACTTCTGACAATTGTGATTCCCTCTCCCCTTAACTTTTCACACAACTTGAGACCATATCAGAACCCCGGTTCCTTATGCTTAAGAGAATACTTCATAGATCACAGTTGGCCCTCACAAACCCCCATGAGGCGTGTGGGCTGTTATTTCTTCCTAATTCAGCCATTGCTGTCAGGTCAGTCCTTGCACTTGGTGACCCCCTGGCGTGTCAGGGTGGAACTGGGCATAAAAGCATTTTAATGACCATGAACTTTTAGAAGTGGATAGCCAGACCTGTTTCCCCCCACACCCCCAGGTACCTCTGAGGTTTGAACTGCCAAACTTTTGGTTAGAAGTAAGCACTTTAGTCTTTTGTGCCTGCCCTTGACGCCTCATACCACTTTGAGGAAGCAAGAGATAGCTCTGAAGCATTCTTCCACGATTAGAACTGAACTTTACTGCCACGGTTCCCTTCCTCTTCTCAGTGTACCAGGTCTCTGCCTGAGCTTCAAGATGTGTCTTCTTAACGGACTGTCCTCTCCTCCACTGTGAAAGAATAGTCCACTTTAAATCTAGTCATCGTCTATGTTTCGGTATTTCTCATGTCAGGAACTGTTGATTCAATGCTGACTCCTAGCAACCCTAGAAGACAGAGTAGAGCTGCCTGCCACAGTTTCCAGAGCATTAATCTTAACAGAAGCAGACCGCCACGTCTTCCTCCCGTGGCACAGTTGGCAGGTTCCAGTAGCCGTCATTTTAGCCAGCAGCCATCCAAACACGTCACCACTGCACTGCTAACTAGGATCCCCAATAGCAGTACGGCCACTCCTCCTTTCTCAGACTTGGTCTTTGCATGGTTCATTTTTTTTTCCAGTTGAATTTTTTTTTATTGTGATTTAAGTCCAAGTTTACAGAACAAATGGATTTTCTATTTAAGCTTTCTTTTGCATGATATGAAGTTAATTACAGTACCCGTGACGTAGCTACACTCTTCCTGATCCCTCCCAGTGGTTGTCATTTCCACCAGTCCTTCAGTTCTACCTCTTCCTGCCTTCTGAGATTTATCGCTGGGAAAATGCTGTCCTTTTGATCCAAGAACTCCTTGTTCTAAGGAGTGAATGAATGCCTTCCCAGTGACTGTTCACATTATAGGCCTGTCTATTATTTGGCTGAAAGTTGAGCCAGAGGGGTGAATTTGGTTCCAGGTTTGAAGGGGGTCGTCTCAGGTAAGATGATGTTTCATTGCTGTTTTAATTTTCATCTCTCTGGTGGCCTAGTTGATAGGGAGTTGCATTGCCAATCCAAAGGTGGACAGTTCAAATCTACCAGCTGCTCCTTGGGTGAAAGATGGTCTCTCTCCTCCCATGAGATTTACAGTCTCTGAAAACCTGCTGGAGGGTCAGCTATGCCTTGGCTTCAACTTGATGGCAGTGAGAAAGAGAGAGAAAATAGCTAACGAGACTATTGTACTATGTATTTAAAAGTGTTTCGCATAAACATATCACAGTGGCTCTTGCCTTTTGTTCATCTGACAATCTGTGTTTTATATCAAATGTTATAAAAGACAAATGGATTTGTCTCCCAACTTAATATTTTTCAGTTTATCTTGCTTGTTCTTCATTCTTTTCTATTAGTATTTTTTTTCTTCATTCTTATGTTCCTTCTTTTTACCCTTCTTTGGGTGAGTTCTTCTGAATGAATCATGTGTTCTTTTCTTTTGGCAGATTTTTATTAGACTTTTTTTCCCCCTATTCATTAAACGCTCTTTTGCTAACTGAAGTATCAGGGGTTCAAAGCCACCTGCCACTCTAGGGAGAAAAGACCTGGTGACTTGCTACTTTGATGAAGATGACCGCTTGGAAACGCTGTGGGTCAGTTCCGCTCTTTTCTATAGAGTAGCTAAAAGCTGACAGCATCCAACACCAGCCACCTTGTTTGCTCACACGGCTTTCCTTTTCCTTTTTTAAAAAAAAAAAAATTAGTGCTCTAGAGTACAGGCTGATAAACTGTGGCCCACAGGCAAAATTAAACTCACCAAATATTTCATAAAGTTTTATTAAAACACAGCTGTGCTCCTTAATTTATTCTGCTGCCCTTGTGCTGAAGTGGCAGATCTGAGTAGTTGCGTACTCACCTGTATGGCCCACAGCATGCAAAATGTTTGCTGTCTGGCTCTTCACAGAAACAGTTGCTGACTCTTGCTTTAGAGCCACACTGTGTACTGTGGTGGCTGTTTAGCTTCGTGTGACCCTCGGGCACTTAAAACGTGACTAGTCTGCATGGTGAGGGATAGAAAGCTCAAAATACACACCACATTTTGGAGAACACAAACCATTGGGTTACATAAAACTGTTAACGTTCATTTCACTTGCTTTTATTTTAGTGGTAGCTACCAGGAAATTTGAAGTTAGCAAATTTGTATTTTATTTCTACTGGTCCTAAAGATTAAAGTGTACATTTTTCATGTCCCAATCTATCTTCAAATAAAAATTACACTTCCTCATGAGCAAAGTGATGTTCTTCTAACATTTCATTTCTGTTTATCCTCTTCCTGTTCTTTGTCTCATATCTTACTGTTGTTGTTGTTGCTGACTGCTTTCGAGTCGAGCATGACTCATAGTGAGTGACCCAATGAACAAAAGGCCCGAAGCCTCTCTACAGCCATGGATACTTATCAAAGTTCATACCATTTCCGGAGGCATGTTGTTTAGGAAGTGGGTGCCGCTCCTGCTTCCAAACCTCTTCTAGTACGTTATTGGTTTTATGTGCCATTGAGTCACCTATGTGATGTATAGCAACCCGATGTCCAGAAGCTCTGAACGCGTCCCTTTCGTGAGCCAGTCTCACTAACTCTGACACACCAACCCCCATCGCCCCAGTCACTGTGTCAATCCATCTCATCCGGGGTCTTCCTCTCCTGCGCTGTCCATCCACCCTTCTGAGCATCATGGCCTTCTCCAAGGACCAATCTCTCCTGGTCAGTGAGGTGGAGCTTCAAAATTCTAGCCTCCAAGGAAGGACTTGTTTTCTTATATATGCTCTAAACCCTTTAATATGGTGTTGATTTCCCCCTTTTCTTCTTTTTTTCTTACACTTTATTCACCCCATACACAACAGTATGTATCTTTTAAACTAAAGAACACATATAATTTAAAAATTCAGGCCTCCATTATTAGAAAAGTACAGTTGAGAGTTTATGCTTGGTCTGGTGGTTTTGTGGAGGTCTCGTGGTGCAGTCACTAAGCACTTGACTGCTGTCTTAAAGGTTGGCAGTTTGAACCCACTGGCCTCTCTGTTACAGGATGGTCAGCTTCCCTAAAGATTACAGCCTTGGAACCCTGTGGGATTTCTGTCTCAGGGGGTTGGTTGCCTAAAGTTGGACTCAACTCCTCAGCAGCAGGTTTATTGGGTGAGCAGACACACTTGTTCTCTTTAACTGTCTTGGTTCTGACTCATAGCTGGGTTGCCGAGACTGGAACTCTTAACGGGAGGAGACTGCCCATCTTTCTCCTCTGGAGCCGCTGGTGGACTTGAACCGGTGGAAACGCTTACCCTTCTGCTTCGCAGCGCAGCATGCTGTGGACTATGCCACCAGCGCTCCTTGGGTGAGCAGAGATGTGGGTGAGCAGAGATGCAGCTTCTCCCATGGGCTTAGAGAATTGGCTCCACGGCTGTCATGGAGCTGGTCTGATAGATGCACTTCGGCTGCTGGCTGCTGGGGGTGCTGATAGAGATGAATGGCCATTTCTTCTGCTCTTGCTGATAGAGACGGACGACCATGTCCTCCACTGTTTGCATTGATATTGTGGTCGTGTGCTTCTTTTCACCTCTGTTTGTTTTCTGTGATAGATTCTGTTCCTAGGTTGTTCAAGGATTTTAGAATCAACAGCTGTAAAATGAAAGAGTTTTAGTGCTGGAGAAGCTGACTGGACATAAATATGCTCGAGACAGGAAGGGCTTTGGTGTGGTGGTGGATATCAGAATAAATACAGGTTACCATGGTGCCAGAGTGGAATTACGCTCCACGAGCTTATTTAGAGCGGCTTGCTTAGAAGTCGATTGCCAGGCCTTTCTTCTGAGTCACTTCTGTTTGGACTGTAACATACATCCTTTCAGTTAGCAGCAAATGCATTCGCCATTCACACCACCCAGGAATTCCTAAATAATATGAGAGTCTGGTTTAGTACAGCCTTAACTCGTATATGACTTCGTAAGTTATTTCATGTTTCATAATAGCAAGAGTATTTGAAAGTTAATTTTTATCAGCCTTAATGTAATAGCTTTTATTTAACTGTGTTTTAAAAGTCAGGTGGTTTTTGTTACTTCTAACAGTCTGTTGTGGTTTTGTTGTGGTGGTGGCGGTGGTGTACTATCAAGTCTGATCTGACCCATAGCTGACCCTCTGGTGGGTTTTCAGAGGCAGTTAATCACACAGGAGGAGATTGCCCATCCTTCTCCCACAGAGCGGCTCGTGGATTTGAACTGCATGTGTTCTATATTGTAACACAGCTTCTTGCCACTAGGCCACCAGAGTACAAGAGTCAGTTGTACCATTTGATAATTGTCCATATAGGGTTTCCAACTGGTGCTTATACAAGTGTCCTCAGCACACTTCCATGATAGAAAAATGAAGTAGTCTTTCTTCTAAATGCTAGTTAGCTGAACACAGACCTAGTTTCCCGGATTTGGCCAAATCACATGCAGTTAGGACAATTCTGGTGTCACTTGCGGAAGTTTTTGTTAAAATAATGTGTGAAGTGTGTTTAATTAAAACACCCTGTGTTTTAATTGCCAAGTGTAAAAAATCCTGAAAAGAAAATCCAAACCTTTTTCTGGCAGTTCTTTTTGGACACTTTCTGCTTGTCTGCTTCCTTCCTTTTCTTCCCCTTCCCTTCCTCTTCCTCTTCCCTTTCTCTTATCCCTTCCCCTTCCCCCTTCT